ACGAATACCAATGATGTATTTTACATTTTCAAATTTTTTTTTTTTTTTTTTTTTGTTGTTGTTGGTCCAATTCTTTCTTTTTGCTTCGGGCTATTTTGACTGCTGCTACTACCAGTGTGACTATAGTATCATCGAATGTTTTTTTTTTTTGGCAAAACTCAGAATACTCAAAGAATTGTATAGCTTTAGGCTTATTATTTTTGTCATTTTTTTTTTTTTTTTTGATTCGCCAGAAATGAAATTCTCATCTGTATTTTTTTCAAATGATGAATGAATGAATGAATGAAAAAAAAAGAAAATCAATCATTTTCATAACGATAATCTAATCATAATTTATTTTGAAACGAACACGAAGAAACAAACAAACAAACAAACAAGAATCCAATCGAAAATTGCAATTCAAAAAATCCCAAAAAAGTTTTTTCAATTTATTTGTTGTTTTGTCATAATGATTATGATGATGATGATGATAAAATTTCCTTGTGAAAATCAATCTCTTATTCAATTGGCGTTAATTCAGTTTGTGTTGTGTTTTGTTGTGTGTGTTTTTTGTGTTTATCTATGGTTGTGGTGGGTGTTTGTCGCCCAAATTTGTTTTTTTTTCAATTTTTTTCCATTTTAAAAAACTAAAAATGACAAAAATTATTCATTTTTCTTTTCTTTTTTTTTTGTTTCGTTTATTTTTCTCTCTACAAAAAAAATTCAGGGCGCGACTATTTTCACTCTATTCGTTCATATATTTCAATCAATCGTTGCTCATCTCTCTCAGTGAAAATCAAAACGCCCACAAACAAACAAACAAACAAACCAAAACACCCACTCGCGCATATAAACCATACACATATATAAACACACACACACACACACAAGCAAACGCCTGTAATAAGCACACCCAATTGAATAAGATGATAAAATTCTTTCATTATTGTTTTTTAATGACTTTTTGTTGATCGTTTCATTTGGTTACGTTTTTTTTTGGGAAAAAAAAAGATTTCGATTGATAATTATTTATTGATAAAATATTCGATTATTGATCGATTGATTGATTGGATTAAAGAAATTAATTGTGTGTGCTATACTGGGTGATAATTGTGTGCGTGTGTTGCTTATGTGTGTGTTAATTGTGTGGGGGTGTGTAAGTGTTATATGTTTGTTATGTGGTTTGTTGGGGCCGTGATTGGTGGATAATCAAAAAACATTCGAAACAATCATTAATTCGTTCATCATCATCATCATTAAAATAATCGATTAATTCGTTCATCACCATCTTCATCTGCAATCGATATTCAAAAAAAAATAATAATAATAATTCATCATGCCTTTCATACCGATTATCAATCAGGATACGGAAGAATTATGGAAACGTTTCAATGAAAAAATTGAAGAACCAAAAAGTCAACGACGTATTATATTGTTTATTGTTTGTGTTGCATTATTATTGGATAATATGCTTTATATGGTTATTGTACCGATAATACCGGATTATTTACGTGAAATTGGTGCATGGGAAACACATGTTGAAGGTGCTGAAATTGAATATAGAAATGTATCGAATAAATTTGTACCATTTCGTATTGGTGGTACAACAGTTTATGAAGGTGAAGATTCAGCTGTTGGAATGTTATTTGCATCGAAAGCAATTGTTCAATTATTTGTCAATCCATTTTCCGGTGCTATCATTGATCGTATTGGTTATGAATTGCCTATGATGATTGGTCTTGGTGTTATGTTCTTTTCTACGGCTGTATTTGCTTGTGGTCAAAGTTATGGTGTATTATTTTTAGCCAGATCATTACAAGGTGTTGGTTCAGCATTTGCCGATACATCCGGTTTGGCAATGATTGCCGATCGTTTTACTGAAGAAAATGAACGACAACGTGCATTGGCCATTGCATTAGCATTTATATCGTTTGGTAGTTTAGTAGCACCACCATTTGGTGGTATTCTATATCAGCTTGCTGGTAAAGAAGTACCATTCATAATATTATCATTAGTTTGTTTGATCGATGCATTTTTATTGAAATTTGTGATGCAACCAAATAAAGATTTACAAGAAGAATGTTCATCGGTAGAAAAACCGGCCGGTACACCAATACATACATTATTAATGGATCCATATATTTGTTGTTGTGCCGGTGCATTAATTATGGCAAATGTATCATTAGCATTTCTTGAACCAACAATATCATTATGGATGGAAGATACAATGCATGTTGAAGAATGGCAAATGGGTTTAGTTTGGTTACCAGCATTTTTTCCACATGTATTAGGTGTTTATTCTACTGTATATTTAGTAGAAAAATATCCACGTTTACAATGGTTTTTTGCTGCATTTGGTCTTGCATTAGAAGGCATTTGTAGTTTTATATTACCATTTTCAAAATCATTCTGGTTTCTAATATTACCAATATCCGGTATTTGTTATGGTATTGCATTAGTTGATACATCATTATTGCCTACACTTGGTCATCTTGTTGATTTACGTTATGTATCGGTTTATGGTTCTATTTATGCTATTGCCGATATTAGTTATTCAGTTGCATATGCAATTGGACCAATTATTGCCGGTTCAATTGTTGAATCAATTGGTTTTACAGCATTAAATGTTTGTATTGCATTAACAAATTTATTATATGTACCGGTATTAGCAACATTACGTCATGTTTATGATTATGAACAATTTGAACCGGAAAATATTGGTATGACTGAACAACAAACAATTATACAACAACAACAACAACGACTACCATATGGACAATCGGGACAACAACAACGTTTAATAATGGTTGGACAATCACAACAACAACAACAAAATCAACAATCTTCTTATGTTCAAAACAATTATTCGTCAACAAATGAAATGAACCGTAATATGATGTCCGGACAACATCAACAACAACAACAACAACAATATCAAGAGCCAATAACACCACCACAATCAAAATACAATCCATTCACATCAACAACAACAACATCGTAAGACACCGATAAATAATACCGATTATAATCCGTTCCAATAAAATGAACCAAAATGATTATTGTAAAAACTAAATGAATCGGAAATTCAAAGAATCGCGATTATTATTTCATTATTTAACACTTTGTAATTTCATTATTTAAACACTCTTGATATCTATGTTCTTATTTGTTATTTGTTGATGATGATGTTATAATTGATATTTTTCTGTTTTGTTTTTGTTTTTTTGGTGATTGAATTTTATTTCTTCTTGCTGTTGTTGTTGTTGTTATCAAATTTCAAATTTGTAAATATTATTACAAATACAAAATATTATTATTATCTTTACTTCCATTCGATGATGATGATGATGTAAATGTTTGATGTTTGAATCATGACCGCGTGTGTGTGTGTGTTTGTGTTTAATTAATTTTAGTTGAATTTTTCAATAAAAAATAAAAATTTACAAATTCGAGCTCATTCAATAATGTTTTCAAAAACAAAACAAACCACAAATTACAAAATCAATCACAGAATCAAACAAAACATTCTGAAAATTAATGTGAAAAAAAATGAAGAAGATAAACACATTTGTCGATAGTTAGTTATCATAAATATAGATTTTAATTTGTCCAATCATTTATTACTATATCAAATTGTTTGTTCAATAATAAATAAAAACTTTCTTTTTCCGATTTTCTCGAATCATCTTAATTATAAATGAAACAAAATGAATAAAAACAAATGAATAAAGTTAAGAAAATCTGTTTCTGTTTCTGCCCAATTTATAATCCAATTATTGATTGATTGATTGATTGCATGATTATCGATTGATTTTTATTTGTCAACAAAACAATTTTTCCGGGTTTTTGGTCGAATCAACAACGTTTGATGGAAAATTTTATGTGATGTGATTGATAGCACGCTAAAATGGCCTTTAGCTTCCAAATATTTAAAAAAAAAATCAAAATTTTTTGAATTAATTTTCAATAATTTAGATTTTTTTTGAAATAAAAAAATTTTTTTCAAAAAAAAAATTATTTAAATTTTGAATGAAAATGAAAAATGTTAAGGGTGTTTTAGCGTGTTGGCAATTACATCGATAGCAACGTGTTTCATCACTTCATCAACGAAAAAACAAAACAATCGATAGTGACGTTCATCACAAAACAATCGATCGAAATATTTCCGGAAACGTTCGAATGTTCGAATTACAATAATCCTCTTCGATTCGGAATTTCATTCATTCAGTTTTTTCCACTACACCCTCTATCAACTAATCAACCACCCACCCCAGACATCATCCTAATATCATCATCATCTGACAATATGGCTCATCATATCAAATCATATCACACATATGTTTACTGTACTTGGATTGTTCAATAAAATATTGATCAAAAAAAAAATTTCCCAATTTTTCCTATTCTCTTTCTGATCACCACAATAATCGGATCGATAATCGAATCGAATGAGAGAATCATGTGAGATGAGAATCTCGATTCGATTCGATTCATACGGGCTTATTTTCCCTTGAAACACCCCCCATCCACCCCATTCCAAATACAAACTAAACACACTTATAATCATTATCATTTGATCCTCAAGTAGTTTTACGTGTGTCCAAAAATGATCATCAAATGAACAACCCGAACAGAAAAAGAAAGAGAGAGAGATAGAAAAAAAATGAAATCTGCCCTCATGTTTCATATGAGAAAATAATCCAGATATATATTTTCCCAATCATCATCATCATCCCAATAATGATAATATTGATGAAATAGACTGACCATTGGTCATTTGGTGATCAACAAAACTTTTTTAGTTAAAGAAAAACCATATGGTATCGATTTTTTTTGCACATTTATCCCGTATATTATATTTGTATTTTTTTTCCTGTACATTCATCCTTGGCTGTTTCTCCCGCCATCACCACCACCGACATCCACCTGAATATCATTATCAATTTTTCATTCATTTTCTTTCATTTTCAATTATAAAGATGAAAATAATGATGATCACATTACATTCACAATGATGATGATGAAGCAACAAAAAAAAACATTTCATTCATTCAATTTTTTGAAAGATTTTGATTGAATTAAGCAACGAAAAAATGATTATAATTTGATGCTTTAATACTCCCGGTGTTTGTCTATATTTTGTTTTCAAATTAAGACAAATAAATAGAAAACAGAATACTTGAAAACAAAATAATGATACTCAACGATTATAAAGAGAGAGAAAACGATGCATTTTATTTTGCAAGAAAAAAAACGGGCTTAAATACCGTTATTTGTCTTTTTTTTCGGGTAATAGAGAATCCAACAACAACAACGACGATAATGATAGCAGAGAAAAATAATGTTGAATGTGATTACAACACACGAACGGAATTTGTTAAAAACGAAGAAGAAGAAGAAATAAAAATGTTTGTTTTTCACCCCTCTTCATTTTTATCCAAATTTTTTTATTTTATCATTATCCAGGCTGTATTGTGAACTGATTTTTTCATTGTTGTTGTTGTTGTTGTTGTTATCCCGAAGAATCCTATTATAATTTTGTTGTTGTTGTTGTTGTTGGCAATTTTATTGCTCCCCATATAAAACGGTCTATTGTTGTTGTTGATGATGATGATGATGATGATGATGATTAAGATAGGGATATTATTTTGGTGTGTTTAAAGTAAACAAAAAAAGAAGAAGAAGTAGAATCCCTTGATAGATAGTGTTTCTGGATATTGCTTTTCGTTTTGTTTTCAAATATTTTTATTTTTTTTGTTTTGTACTTTTGATTACAAATGATGATTACGAAAAATTTTGACCAGAATCGAAAAATATAATGATCAGACGATTTGGTTTTATATTTGGTGGATTTTGAACAAACTGATATGAATCGCTATTTATTTACCATTCTGGCCATTATATTGTCCACCAGACTGACGGCTATTCGCAGGACCAAACATTCAAAAATTTTTCTAAAATATCCCAAAAACATCGATAGAAAGAAAGAAATAATATTTACACTTTTGTGAATAGTGTTTATTCTTTTCATTCTGGTCATTATTATCATTCATTCATTCAAAAAACCATTGAGAGGGAGAGAGAAGTATTCTGAATGGTGGTGGTGGTGGTGGTGGATGGAGAAGAAAATTGGATTTTTTTCGCCATTCTCCTGTTTTTTTTTGGATGCTAAGCATCATTGATATGATCTCAATATGTTTATTTTGTTGTTGGTTGTTTCTCGTTATTATTTGATTATTATTTGATGATGATAATAATAATAATAATCTTTCGATGACCAAATTGATGATTATATATGAAAAACAAACAAACAAACAAACAAAATGATTATTATTCTCTATTCATTGATTAGATTCTTTTCATTTCATTTCATTCATTTTCCTATTCAGAAAGAATATTCTGAAAGAATTAGGCGACAACAACAACGAAAAATGATGAAAACTTTCATCATCAAAGATTATCTTATTGGAGCATCTTTATTCATGTGGAATTATTGGAGAAATAAACGCAGGTGTCTTGTGAAACATACACACACACACACACAGTGTCCAGAAAGTTTTTTTCGCCCAAAATCTGTTTGCTTAATAATCATTTTTTGTTTTCTCTCATCGGGATTCTCAGGATGCTACATTGATTAAATATGATCAAACAAGCAGAAAAAAACAAACAAACAAAAGTAAACCCAAAGATAATGTCCAAAGAAAGAAAATGGGGAAAAAAATAAGCTAAAATCCTAGCGTTTAATTACCGAACGGCTAAAATACAAACAAACAAAAAAACTTTTTTTCCTTGTTGAAAGTTGAAAACTTTCAAACAAAATGATGATGATTCTTGATCGGGAATCGATCTGGAAAAAAAAGCAAAAACCCTCCATCAATATAGAGTAAATGAAGATGGATAATTGAAAAAATTTGTTCCTTTAAAACTTCTTCATTCTTCTTCTTCTGTTTACTTTAATTTCATTTCATTTTTATTTATTTATTTAATCACGTGATTTATCAATTTTAACCATCAAGCGTATGGTGTTTACTTTTTAATTAAATTAATTAAATTAAACAATTATTGGTGTTCGCGGGGGGGGGGTTAATATTTAAGTAGTTAGTTGAACATTTTGATTTGATTTGGATTTCTTTCAAGTTTTGTTTTTTTTTTTCGTTAAATGTTTGTTTTTTCAAGTTTTTGAAACCTTTTTGGAAAATTTTTTGAAAAAAACCTCTCAATTTACTCTTTTTTTATATCAATTAATTTTACGAAAGCAAATTTTTGATTATGAAAAACAATGGAAATCATCAAAATGATGGAAAAATTAATCAACGACAGCAACAGCAACAAAGAACCAAAATAATGATCCATAGCGATGATAATGGTGGTGCGGGTGGTGGTGGTGCCAAAGCAGCCACCCCGATCGGCCAAGTAGGCGTCAAAATTCCTGATGGTAAACAACAACTGGGAAATTCAGGCCGAGAAGAAGAAAAGCGTCAAGATAAATGGATCGAGGTATGTAAATTTTTCATCATTTTTTTTTCTTCGTTTCTTGTGAAATTTAAGAAAAAATTCTTTGATTTATTTTCGTTTGTAGTTAGAGGTTAGTTTAGGGTTATTTATTATTCTTGCCATAAGAAATGGTTTGATTGCGTGTGTGTGTGTCTCGAATGTTACTAGAATTTAAATTCTGTTTTTTCTTCTCTGGTAGAATCGGGCAGATGTAAAGTTTTCAGAAAACTGGGAGCAAAATATTCATGAGCAAAAATGAAATTTATTCTTGAGAAAAATGATGTGTGCGTGCCAATTTTTCTTTTTCTTTCCATTCATTCTTTGAATTCATCATCAGATATTCTTCATTTTCATTTTCAAATTTTGCAAATAAGCTATTTGTTGTTGTCGTTTTCTTTCTTCTTGGGCTAATTTCTTATTCTTTTTTCGATCATTATTTTTGGCAAAAAACAAGAAAAAATCAATGAAAAAATCAAAATTTGTTAACCCCTAGATAGATCTAGAGGAGAGAGAGAGAGAGAGTTTATTGTTGTTTAGGTAAGCAATTTGTATGTTTGATGAATAATGATGTTTGATAAAGAATTTTTTTTTGTGTGTGTAAAAAATGGGAAAAAACAGAAAAATTTTCTGTCCATCTTTTGGAATTGTTGTATGTGCGTTGAATAAAATATATCACGATGAAGCGAAAAAATGCAAAGTTCATTTCTTTGCGTGGGTAGGTGGGGTAAGTTGGTTGGTGGGTGGATCCACCCGTTCATCAATAAACAAAAAATTGGCAGTTTTCATTTTTCGATTTTTTAAGTGTACAATCGATTCTCTATATCTATATTCTTTGTGTTTGAAAAAAATTATTCTTGAATGTCCAAACATTTACACTGAAGAGAGAAATATATAGAGATAGGTCCTTATTACCATAATTTTGCTGATTCTGTTGTTGTTGTTGTTGTCGTTGTCCAAAACTGTAAAAAATTCCGAATTGAAATAATGAGAGAGAGAGGTGGCGGAACATTATTTTATTTCTGGAATTTTCGATTCGATTATTAGTTAGGTTGGTTGGTATTTTTCAAACTTTTAGTTATGTTGATGATGGTGATGTGGTGGTGGTTAAAAAAAAGTGTAAGACAATCAAATTTTCTTCTCTTTCCCTTATTTTGTGAGAGAGGAGAATGAAAGTAGAAGCAATATTCATTGGTCATGTTATAGTTTTTGGTGTTTTTTTCCGCATCCATTTAGCATCGACCTTATTCTTTTTTTTAAATATCAATAGAGAGATAGAAAAAGAAGAAAACAACCAAACGACGATATACGCAATGAAGAGGGAGAAAAACTTCTAAAAAAGAAAAACTGGGAAAAGAATTGAATTCGATTGAAATTCAATTGTAGGAAAATGAATGAATGAATGAATGAATGGTTAGTTGGATGTTGGAATAATAATAAGAGAGAGGGGAAAAGCAAAAGAAAATACTCTTGGGATCTTCAGAAATGGTCTTCATCATCATCGTTTTCGTTTGTTGTTATTTCAGTGGGGGTAATATTTTGAAAATGTAAAGTATAGGAACAACAAAACAGAAAAACTTTTAACCAACTTTTAACCGAAATGACGATTTCGAGAATAATAAAATGATCAAAACGAAGAGAGAGAGAGAAGAGAATTAAAACTGGTGGTAAAGAAGAAATTTTTGTTGTTGTTGTTGTTGTTGCCATTCTCATTTATAATTCCGTTTCTTTCTTTTTTACTTGATAATAATAGCCAACCAACAACAACTAATGAAATACAGAAATTTTTGTTTTCCAAATTACAAAATGAACAAAAAAAAACTTGTTCATTTTCATCGTAATAAAATTTTTGTTTTTTTTTGAAATTTTAAACGATGAAAATGATGATTGGTACAGTTTTCTTGCTGTTCGGAAAAATAATTTGTCGGTTTTTCCCCCTATTACTTTCGGTAAAAAAAATTTCCCGAAATTCAATTTTTAAAATGTTGAAAAAGTTTTTTTTTTCGGCCCGAAAAAAATTATCAGGTTAAATTTATGAGAAAGTTTCTTGGGTGTGTGAAGAGGATAGTTTTCGAAAACATTTCCCGAATTCTTTGTTGTCTATCCGAAGAAGAATATTATTTACGGCAGTGGAAAATGCATCATCAATAAAAATTTTTATTTCCAGAATATTTTTTCAGTGACAATTCTCTCTCGCTTTTATTGTTCAATTCATTTCATTTCTTTTTTTTTTTTTTTGAATATTAATTTCAAAACAAAAATTGACCTCAGGAGAAAACTTGACAAAATATATTGTTCCCTTGCGCATCCAATTATTGATGGATGATAATGGTTGCCTTGTTTGGTTGGTTCCAATTATTGTTGAGGAACAAATTTTTTTAATCTAATTTGTTCCTTTTTTGTTTGTCATGTTGAATTCTGGAAAGTTTTCCCGTTAAATTTTATTCAATTTTGAAAATTTTTTTCTCCAAAGTGTTGTCATCTAAAAATCTATAAGGGAAAATTTCCGGGAAAAAAAGTTGCTGAAATATTGCTCCATCTTTGTGTAAATGATAAAGATCCATTACTAAATAAAGATTATAAGATTAATGATTTGAATTGAACTTCTTTTTTTTCTGTTGAAAATAAAAATTTGAAAATTTATTCGAGAGTATTTTTTTCACCTGTGTCAACACAAAAAGCTCCACAAGGGCTCAACATGGTTAATCCATTGAAAAAAAATACAACAATAATCCCTACTTTTCAATTCAATTTCAATCAATTATCACTTGAACATCCAAAATATTCTCTGTAAAAATTGAAAAATATTCTTTTTTCTCTTATTTTGTGTTTGGTAATTGAAATGATAATTTTTTTTCATTCGTACATTCATTTCTTGCTATTTCCACCCAAACTGGTATATAATTCAATAAAAAAACAGCGAGAAAACAAACAGGAAAAAGGAAATTGGAAAAAAAACATAATCAAAAATTCTTGATAATTATTTGTCACAATATTCCCCCCTCTGTGTGTGTGTGTTCACAGAATAAACAAACAAATTAGCTATTCGGATTTTTCGGTTTGGATGTGCCAAAAAAGAATATTTCATTTCGATGGAAAAATGGAAAAAAAATTAGCTTAAATTCACGTTTCAAAATAAAATTACCCGACAAAATACAGAAAGAGAGATAATCATGAAAAAATTCATTATTTTCTCTCTCTTCACACACACACACTAATAAGAGTATTTAAAGATTAAAAGAATTCGAATAAAAAAAAAATGTTCGTTTTGCGATCGTGTTGGGTGTAAATAGAATCGAATAAAAATGAAGAGAGAGAAAGAGAGAGAGAGAGAGAGAGAGAGAGAGAGAAAGAGAAAGAGAGAGAGAATATGATTGTGTTATAGTTTAATTAGAGGAAACAAAAATAATAGAAAATACACATACACACACGGATTCCAATCACATTTTTGGCAAACAAAAAAAAAGATTTAAGTAATGTCAAGAGAGTAATTATATATCACACACATAGATTTACAAATTTTTTTTTATTGTTTGTTTCCTTTGTTGTGTTTAGGTGGAAATAGACTAGAGAGGAGGAAAAACATTCGATTTTTATTTCATTTTCAAATGTGAAATGTAAAAAAATGTCCAGGCTTGTTTGTTTCGGTTATTATTGAAGAAAGAAAATAATGATTTTCAGATGTCAGAAAAAAGAAAAGAATCAAAAAAGATTGGTTTCTATTTGGCATATTGATCGATAATAATGTTGTCATATTTGGGTTAAAGTATTGCTGGTAAAAACAAAGGAACTCACAAAAATTCGACTAAATGAACACACTATGTGGGTAACAGAAGTAAAAATAGCCTTAAGAGGTGTTTTTCTTTTGCTCATTATATTTTTTGGTCGGTTATAAAATGATAGTTTTTTTGGTAATGATATTTTTGGTGGTGGTTAGGTAATGAGTGACGGAATTATATTCTGGAGAATCATCATCATCATTATTATAACACTAGCATCACACAGTTCAATTTATTTTGGCCCTACAGACTGGAAGGGGGAGAACACACGTGCTTTTTTTTTGCTGACCAAAATGTAAATGTGTGTTGTAACAACGATGTGTTCCAATTGGAAACAGTCGTCGTCTCATCCAAACATTTGTTGTTGTTGTTGTTAGTCGCTTGAATTGGCATGCGAATTTGTTGTTGTTAAGGTTAAACAAGCATACAAACGGCACATCACTTGAATAAATTTTAGATTCGGTTAGTTAGTTTTATTTTCTGGTCGATTGTGTAATGATGATGATGATGAGGGGAGGAAAAGGGGTGACCAGAAAATCAACTGGAAGGAAAAAGAATTGAATCGAATCGCTGGATGATGCTACTACTACGGGAAAACTGCCAATTTCGTCTATTTATTCTCATTATCGATGCAAGAAATTTTGTTTTGTTTTTGATTAGAATTTTTTTTTCCAAATTTTTCTGTTTCTAAATTCATTGCACACACATACACATGACAAGTTGATGACAACAACTGAGAGTTGTCGATTATCATTACGAAATGTGTGTGTGTGTTCGGTTATTTATTGGCGGGTAAAGAGTGTGTGTGGGGGAAAAGATAGAAAATTGATTTTGTGAATAATAATTATGTGTAAAAAAGAACAAATTTCTAGTTTCTAGTTTCACCACTATACCTACAGAGACCGACAAGTAGAGTAGAAAAAGACACTTTTTTTTGTTGTTTTCGATTTGAGTCGATAATTATCATCTTTGATGCGCAGGTTCCGTTTCCGTTGAAATCCAATTTCCACATTCTTCGTTTTTCGCTTTTTTTTCCTAATTATTTTTATCAGAAATCGAATTGAACAACAACAAACACACAGAGGGAGAGAGAGAGAGAATTAATTAATTAGAACAACAAGAATATTCTGTAAATATTCTGTTTGTTCGTAATTAAAGTCTGTTGAGTTGAGTGGGTGATGAAACATACAACAACAACAACAACAACAGTGAATTTGATAGACAAATGAGATAGGTGGTTGGTTGGTTGGTTGGTTGGGTATTCCAAAAATATTAATGAAGACATTCCCATAAATTTGCCCTCGAACCTTTTTTTTTGTTGTTGAAGATTCTTGTTTTAGAGCTTGGTTGAAAATGTTTTGGTTTTGAAAATCAAAAGAGAAAATCTGTATTTGACATTTTCGGATTTTTTTTTTCATTTGTTTTGTTACCAAAGTTTTGTCTGTTTCTGTGTAACCAAGAGGTCGCCAAACAGACAAACAGTATAATGATTCAACAAACAAGAACAATGAAAAAAAAGGTCACGTGTTACATGATGTTTTCAGAAGATGAAGATGCGGCAGGCCATAGGTATCGAAATAATAAACCGAGGTAAAGTTTTGAAAAAGAGAGGAGGTCATGTTCTGCACAACAGAAACATCATTATGGAGAAGAAAATGAATTCAATGACAATCTCCAACTGTGATTCAAAAAAAAAGATTATTCCGTTTGGGTAGAAATAGTGAAATTGGATATAAAAAAAATGAAATCTATCGATTCCAGTAATTCGTGTTTGTTGTTTTTCTTTTAAAGTTTTTGTAAAAAAAAATTCAATTTAATTTTTTCTTGTGAAAAAAAATACACCCATTAACCCGCCTAATATGAAAGATAGGGGGTGGATTTGAAGGAGAGGCAAAAACAAGAACAAAATCCATTAGACAATGTTGTAATCTAATATCGGTTTGATATTTGGTAAAATAATATTTCGTTCGTTCAAAAACAAGAAGGTTATTTTCAAACCAAACCAAAAAAAAATTGTTTTTCCTTTTTTGACAATGATTAGAATTGATGTGTCATTGACAATCATCATCATCATTTTTTCATTTTTCTACACAGAAAAATTCTGGTTGAAGAAACCAAAAAAAACCTGCTGTGATTTTTATGATGAAAAAAAAACCACAAATTGAATTCTTGTTTTTCGTGTTCCCCGTCCCCCTTTTTTTTTTGTTATCCACACAGCCGACTATATCCACCTAAACCACTAAAATTTTTCAATTTTTTTTTTTTTGAATGATTATTATTATTGTTTTTTGAATTTATAATTTTTATTTAAATTTTTAATTAAAAAAAATTATAATTACCAAGCATCCTAATTAATTTCCAAAGGAGAAAAAAAAAATGTTTTTTTTTCTCCTCTTTAGCAGAATAATTTGAAATTCATTTGTAACAAATGATTCTCTGGAAAGCATAAAAATATTATTCGTGCGTAATGATTTAGTTTAGTGGGTTTTAGTTTGTCATCATTATCATCATAATAAATAATGTGATGGATGGTTGATTTTGGGGTAGGTTGGTTGGTTGCTTGATTGGTGTTACATAATAATAACCGAACCAAGCCAAACCAAACCAACCAAAAATGAATCAAATTAAATTCCCGAAAATAAAAAATTTATGTCTGAATGTCTTCAACAACAACAACAAATCTTCATCATAAAAATAATATTCAATCGAGCGAATTGAATTTTTTCTTCTGGATCGGTTGGTCCAGTCGGTCATTCGGTTGATTTGGTTTTGCTGCTAATGTTGTTGTTGTTGTTTGGTTTGTCCTCCTGGTAAATTGGGTTATTTTTTTTCGGTGAAACAAAAAAAAAACAGATGATTACCGTTGTCATTTGTTTTTTTCTTTAAATCGGGTTATTATTTGGTGGCTATTTCCACTCCGTTCTCCTCTAATCAGGCCAAACGTATTTTAAAGTATGTTTTATGATTAATGATTGAAAGAAGACAAGTGTGTGTATATAGTCGTTTTTGTTAGAATCGCATTCTGATGCGCTTTGGCTACTGAATTTTTTTTCCCTTCAAATACACAGTTTTATTTCGAAAAAAAAAGTTTATCTAGAAACAACAAATAATATAGCCCAAAGGTTTAATGATTATGATGAAGAGATCATTAGAAGAAAACATTTTGCAAAAGAGAAAGAATATTCTTGTAGGGCTGATTTTCCTTAATTGGCATCCTGTTATAAAAATCCTCTCTATATAGTGAAGTAAAGAGAAAACTGAAACGAGGAATGATATATAGCTTCTTCCACTATATAATAATGTTAAAGTTTGAATTTTAATTCTGGTTGTTTATTTAAAAAATTTCAATTTAATTAATGATTCGTTTTTTTGTTTTGCCGTTGTTGTCAATTTCAATAGGATTTACCAACATTACCAATACCGGATCTAGAAAAAACAATGGAACGTTATTTGGATGGTTTAGAATCAGTTATACAATCAACATTACAAATGGAACAAACACGATTAATTGTTAAAGATTTTTTATATGGAAATAATGACAATAATGATGATGATCATAGTGAAGGAAAACGATTACAAAAATTATTAATTGAATATGCTAAACAAACTGATAATTGGGTAAGTGTTAAAAAAAACAAAAACAAACAAATGAATTGGAATATAAGATCCATATATATGGATCATTTCATCTTATTCAACGATGATGGTTACCATCGATACACCAATACACCAAACAAACAAACAAGCAAATAATACTTAATCTCTCCCTCTCCTATTCTATTCTCTTCAAAAACATTTTTGTCATTCATATGGTATTAAGAATTTTTTTTTTCGTAAAAAGAACCAGAAAAGAATTGTTGATTCTCAAATAAACACACAGATAGAAAGTGAGTGTTAATAAAACACAGACATTGTTTATTGGAAAAATGAAAAGATCCTTCAAATATTTCTTTTCTATTTTGGGGTGGTTATTCGGTGGTCGAGTGTTTCAATATATAAGAGTAGAGTGTTTGTGTGCTGCGGGTATTGTTGAAGTGTGTTCCAGAAAGAAGAATATCTAGCCAAAGAAAGAAAATTTGATGGGTAGGGGAATTATGAAGAATGAGGAGATCAGGAGGAAGGGAAAAACAGAGAATTCTCCCCCAGCTCCGTCTTGGTTGCTTGTTATTTGAGTATTAAGTCGAATTGAATTGAATGAATGGGAAATACAAAATAGAAATAAATAATAAGCACACACACACACACATGGATTTAGCTAATTCGGTTTTTTTTTCTTTTCTTCGTTCGTTGTTGTTGTTGTTGTTGTTGTCAAACATTGAATGAAAAGATCCTTGTCGATGATGATGATGATGAAACGGTGTTTAGATTTTCAAACAGGGAAAAAAATCGAGAAAGAGAGATAAAAAGAGAGAGAGAGAGAGAGTGAGAGAGAGAGAATATTTCATCAATAACAAACTTTCTTTCCGTCTATTTTAACATTAATCATTATATTCTTGTTGCTAATCATCATTGACTATATCTACCCTATTACCTTTTTTGTTTCACTATCATTTGATTTAATGATGATGATTATTGGCCTTGCAGTTTGTTTGTTAGTTAGTATTTGGTGGCGGTGGTTGGTGGATGGTGGTGTTTGTTGTTTTGTAAATGAAAAGATTTTTTTTTTTTTTTGCTTGTTATTTTTTCTTTCGTTTGTTTTGCTGTTGTTGTTGTTGTTGTTGTTGAATCTAATTGGCTTTATCCCTTGTTACAATAACAAATTCTGCAGAGGGGGGAATAACAGCAACAACATCAACAACAACAAGAAAATCTCCCCCCAGTTCCAATTTGAATGATCAAATGAAAAATAACCGAAAAAAAAACAAAAACTTTTTTTCGTTCGTTCGTTCGTTTGTGTTCGCGGGTACATGCCGACTTACTTGGTACCGAACGGTATAAATAGATTGTCGAACAACCCAAACAACGACGGGAACAATAATAATAATAATAATAACCGACTGAATAACCGGACTAATAAATGAATAAAATAAATACCAAATGAGCTTGAAGAGAAGAGAATATAAGGATCATGAATTTGGTACAATTCATTCTCTCCCCTCCATTCCACTCTCCCCCCGATAAAAATACACCATTTGCGAATCAAGAAAAACAAGAAAAAAACAAAATTTTTCAAAATTAAGCATTATCTGTGTTTGGCTTTTGTTGTTGTTGTTGTTATTGGTTGTATAATGTCACCTTATTTTATTCATTCAATGCCGCCCACATTACAATGTTGAAGAAAAAAACAACAACAAATGAAACCAATCAATCGAAATATTGTGTAAATTGTTTTCAAGTTTTTCTTGTCTGTTTTTTTTTGTTGTTGTTGAATATAATTGGCACATAAACATGAATTGGGTTGGTCAGTAAAACCACCAAATATTTTTTCATTATCAAATCCATTGGTCGGTCAAGAGAGAGAGAGATGGTCAAAAACGATTTATTTTGATCAGAAACCAAAAAAAAAAGAGATAAACATTTGTTTTGATAATGATCCAAACGCTATGATATTCTTGTTGAGAATTGTTTTGAAAAAAAATCTTTCGGACATTAGTTATTTTCGGGAAAGCAACAATGATAATTAGAAATATAGCCACAAATATCATCACATCATTATAATTCATTTGATTGATGTGTGGGGTGGTAGGGATTACACCGAGCTTGGTTACACAGAATTATTGGTACACGCAATTCCTTGAACGAAACTTTGAAAATCTTTCTTTCATTCAAAAAAAACAAAAAAACAAATTAAACAATCACGCAATTTTAAAGTTTTGAATTTAAAAAAAAATCAATCATTTATTGAGTCGAAATAGTTGAGGTGCTGGTCGTGTGGGTGGAAATACGAATCGAATGTGAATGACAGAATCAAAAAACGAGCAAAAATTAAAAAAAAAATAACTATAGGATCAACGACCATCATCAATGATCATCATCATCATGGACCAAAATGATCTTTTTTGTTTTGTTTTGTTTTTTTGTTTCTCCGGTCATAGGAAATTATACCACCTGCTCCCTTTCCACTACATTGATTGCTGTGTGTCGGTTTTGGTTTTTTTTTCGTTCGTACAATAACTATTTTTTTCTCACAACGTAATTCTCAAATTCTGTCTAACTGTCAAACAGAAACAAAACAAAAACGAAAAAGAAAATATTTTTT